CACACACACACACACACACACACACACACACACACACACACACACGCACGCACATAGTATACACTTTATGTTTGCAGAGATGTGGTAGAATGTTCTCTAATGTTGCAGGTAGTATCGCGGACTCGCTACCCGCTCTCCTTCTTATTCATGGCGATTCATATTCGTGGGGCGCCGGAAATTCATTTGACGGAACCGCCCTGGCTGCTCACGGACGCCTTATTGTCGTCTCTATCAATTTTCGTCTTGGTGTGCTTGGTAAGCTCTGCAATACTTGTTCATTGAAACAGACCATTCCTTTTTGCCACGCCCGCGTCGTATCGGAAAGTGGGACACGTCTTGCGGACGCTTGCGATTATTTTATAAATTTTATTTTTTTGCTATATTCACGTATGTCATAATTGTTTGGGAAGATGAAGCAATACATCTTTTAAAGAAATTCTTTCTCGTTTTTTTGTCTCAAAATGAAAAAAGATTGAAGAAATTTTCTCTTATCTTTCTCTTATCATTCGTAATAATTTATTCTTGTGTCGATAATAATATTTAACAATAGAATAATGTAATTTTAAACTGACGTGTTTCGTTATAAAGAATCGTACAATCGTAACAATTATTTTTCATAGGTAATAAGCGTTTATTGGTGACTGACAATTTCACACATTGATCAATATCCAATAAATATGCGCGTTCTCTGCTAAGAAATTATTATTTCGAGCATAACAAGGACAATACGATAATCAGGCATTTACTATTTTGTGCACAAGAACTGATAGAAAGTTTTCGCGTTATAAAGTGTGCCGAGTTTGCCCTGCTTTGTTTATTACACAACGCGACTAGCTCTTTTGTTCTTTCGACAGAGTTAAAGGAATGATCTCATTATTCGTGGCAGCTAGGAGGAAAAGTTTGTCGAGATCTTACCAGATTACTTTCTTCGCAGTTATATATGGAAATTCTTCTCTCTGGAGGTTGTTATTTCCACTAGATAGTTGTAACTCTCTAAAAACACAACGTCAATTTGAATGTAGGAAACATAGGAATTATAAAACGCAGAATGCGTTTTCGTTCGCGCGAGAAAAAGAGAAAGAGAGAGACAGGGGATTACATGTACGTATGCCAAAATTAAAAATGGGGAATAAAGGGGGAAGAAAAACAAAGGGAGTTTAATGAGGACGAAGAAGGGGACACGTAAGGCTAAAGGTATTTTCATGTGAATGGATTTTCGCGCTTGTTTATTATATGTACGAGACTGGCTTTTCAGCATCTATTAAATATTATGCGCACAATTTAAACTGGAGCACAGCAAGAATGGCTATGAGGTGTAATCGATATTCGTTCAGCGTGAGGAATCGGAACGGATCCCATCTCGCCGGTGAATTTACGTTGTTCCTGGATAAAGCTCATTTTTTATTTAGTTAATTCGTAAAATGGATTTTATCTGGGCATCCGAGCGAGTCTCTCTTCGCGATGCTAGGCAGTCTCTGCAATTTTGCGTTAATTAAAAATGTATTATGCTTCCGTATGCGCGTTTCCACGGTTTTCGTACTACACTTTATTATCGTGGGATATACCACCCACAATGTTGTAATCTGTATTTATTTTTTGGCGCTATTTGCAGCTGCGATATTTAGAGATACGAATACACCTAATCGCAGATAAAGCGATAAACAACGTATTATTTGGAAGATACGCATGTTTACAACACCGTATCCTCCATTCATGAAAGAAGCCCGGGGGCAGTCAGTGGAACAATTTTCGATATCGATACGCTGAATTTTCCACCATACCGGGGCTGGTTTCGCGCTTCTCTTTGTCGGTAGCCTGCAGTTCCGTATGCGTTTTGTTCATCGTCGAAGCGAAACAATGCCTGCGGCGTTATCCAATACCGCATGGCCAACCGATTCCATTTTCTTCTGTCTTTTTTCTTGTTATTCCACTTATTACTCGTGCTCTTTCACTGTTTCGCACCATTTACGGGTTTCACGCCACTTATGAATACTTATAAATAAATTTCCGATCGAACCATCGCGTTAAATAATATTAAATATATCTTCTATCATATATAGTGCAACATTTCGCAAATTGCGGTACTCTCTAACAAAGAAAAAACTCAACGGACAAAAGTAAAAATAAACAAATATAATATATAATAATTAAAAACATTTGCGTATTTTATGCAAAAAAAAAATCTTTTTTTTATGAATAGTAGCGAAAACATTTATCTGTATTATTCGAGTCATTACTCTATGATATTTTTCTGACGCTAAAATACTAGCGTAATTAAAACTTGGTACCAATACGTTGGATAGATATGTGAATGTAATTAAAAGGTGAATCGGATTGAAATGGAAAACTCACCTTGCAGGCAAATAACGAAGCAAAGTGACAAGCCTGTAGGTGAGTCGGTAGCAAATTGAAGCGAGCGGGATTGAGTACCGGCGAGCAAATATTTAATTTTAATCCGGTTTATTCTTCGAGTATAGCTTGCGTTACAATAGCTGTACGTCTGTATATACGCACGTGTGTGAGTATATCTCGTCTCGACTTTCGTCTCCGCAATGATAACTAATTTAGCAATAATTAATTAACTTAGACAATCCTTTCTGTAAAAGCAAATAGTAAAAGTGAACATACTTGAGTTTAGCAACAAAGTTTGTAATTAACATAACAGAGTTTTTTGATCGCCGAGATTTGCGCGTAAAAAGGATGATGGAAAGTGTGAGAAGAAGCTTCCTCGAAGCGGAGGAGGCAACCGGAAATATCTGAATGGATCCTTCAACCAAGTTCTCTCTTTCTCGGCGACTTTTCCTCTTTTCATTCTCCGGAATAACAAGAGTACGATATTTCGCATTACGATGTTTCGCGAGATATTCTGCTTGTATCTTCGTAGAAACTCTCAGGAATTAGCAACGTCGAATATTTGAACATCCTCGTTGCTTCGTTCAGCCAAGCGTAGATGAGCCGATTTCCTAATTTGAGCACGTTGAACCTACAGGCTTCCTGAAAACCGGTTCGAAAGGGAGCGCGCAGGGCAATTATGGATTGATGGATTTGGTGGCGGGGCTTCATTGGCTGCGCGAGAATCTTGGAGCTTTCGGTGGCGATCCTGAGCGACTGGCGTTGTTGGGCCACGGCACCGGGGCGGCTCTCGCCAATTTTTTAGCCGTCTCTCCTATGGCGAAAGGTAAGGAGTTTAATTGTTTCGCGGCTTGTGTGACCGATCGGTTGCGCACACTGCAGTTGTCAGTCAACTCGAGTTGGTTAACGTGCTGTCGGTTATATTTACCGCTGACGCGGTATATCCATTTTGTATAGAAAAGCGAGCTGCTAGCGTATGCTATGAATTTGTTTACTTCAATTTTTTTTTACAACGTCCACGCGGAACGTTTATTTATCGGTTTAGAGAGATATGGTTTTTAATAATTTATATTTATTATTTATTTTACGACGCGCTTTTAAGAAACAATTGCAAACTTTCTTTCCGCTTATTCATATGATAAATGAAATTGAATATATTAATTGAACTGCAATTCTGTTGTAAATTATAGTTATTTACAAAGGAAATTGATTTAATCACGTTTAACACTGATTGATGTCGGTATAACTGTCTATAGAGAGAGAGACATGCTAATTGAAACTAATTTATCGATCTCACAAGTATAATCGTGTCTAAGTTCTATTCTCCAATAAAAAGAAAGGGTTTAAATAACATTTAGAGAAGCTTTTGTATACAGCTTTTATATACATAAAATAATAAGAGATCGGTTTCCTGTTTACGAAATATTGGATTTTCAAATAATAAAACATCAATGTATATATTACTGTATAATAATTAAAGATTTATCGAACATTCCTTGCATTTTATTAACTATATTGCAATTAGCGAGAGTTTTCAACGAATATTTTAGAGCTGATCGGGAGGGTGATTTTGCTCGGTGGTTCGGCCCTCTCGCCATGGGCGGTGCAGCGAGATCCGCTGATGGTGAAGCGTCGCGTCGCCGAGGAGATCGAATGTCCCGGTGACGTTGAGGCCGACGATATCGCACCGTGCCTTCGTTTAAAGAGCGTGAAGGAGCTATTGGCGGTGCCGCTGGATCCGCCAAGATTTACTTCCGGATTTGCACCTTTCGTCGATGGGACTGTTCTGCCACCGACAGTCAATCAGGTGAGACGATTCGATCCGATAATCGATAATCTCGAGACTGGAGAACAGTAATGCGCGCCCTTTCCACTTGCTTTACGATCTGCTCTGCCTGATTGCTTCGGTTTTATTACGCTGTTAACCGTAATACGCCATTAATTAATCTTAATTGCAGTTTAATCAATCTTGTTTGTCCGTTTCTCAATTTAGAATTTAGGGAGAGAAAAAGAGAGAGAGAGAGAGAGAGAGAGAGAGAGAGAGAGAGAGAGAGAGAGAGAGAGAGAGAGAGAAGAGAAAATCGTTATTTAATAGATAAATTACGTTCTCTAAAGTGGCATTTACATTGACAGTTTAAGGCATAAAACTTAAGCTTTACACAGAGAAAATGTTTGATTGAATGAACTGGAATTCTGGTGGAAAATGAACGATCCAGAATTCTGATTAGATTTACTAGAATTCTAATTGAAATAACATTCATAATTTCCTGGGTTAAATCTAGAATTCTAGTCGATTTAATCAGAAATCTAATAAACTTAACCAGAATTCTGAACTATTCATTTTCCAGAATTTTAGTTAATTCAATCAAATTTTTATTCTAAAAAATTGATCAATCATAATCGATTATCCTTTTCATATTCAACTGTGATTGGTCAATTTTTTAAGGTTTAAGACGCTTAAGTTTTATGCTTTAAAATCTGCTTTAAAATTGACATCGCTTTAAGTATAAAACATCATTAGGTACATTACATGCAATTGTTATTAAGAAAACACATTAGATGCATATAATAATAGAGAATAATATATTCAATCTTAACACGTCTAGATATACTCGCATCTGTCCAGAGAGAGAGAGAGAGAGAGAGAGAGAGAGAGAGAGAGAGAGAG